AAATCCAAAAGTCTAAAAGCTTAAGAAGTCTAAAAGTCTACGAAGTTCAGAAGTCTAAAAATCCAAAAGTCTAAAAGCCTAAGAAGTCTAGAACTCTAAAAGTCTAAAAAGTCTAAAAGTCCAAGAAGTCTAAAAGTGTAAAATCCAAAAGTCTAAAAGTCTAAGAAGTCCAAAAGTCAAAAAAGTCTAAAATTCTCAAAAGTCTAAATATGCAAAAGTCTAACGGTCTACAAGTCTAAGAAGTTCAGAAGTGTAAAAATCCAAAAGTCTAAAAGTTCAAGAAGTCTAAAAGTGTAAAATCCAAAAGTCTAAATGTATAAGAAGTCTAAAAGTCAAAAAAGTCTAAAAGTCCAAAAGTTTAAAAGCCTAGATATCCAGAAGTCTAAAAGTCTAAGAAGTCTAACAGTCTAAAAAGTCTAAAAGTCCAAAACCCTAAAAGGCTAAGAATTCTTAAAGTCTAAATATTTAAAATTCCAAAAGTCTAAAAGTCTGAGAAGCCTAATAGTCTAAGAAGTCTAAAAGTTTAAAAATCCAAAAGTCTCAAAATCCAAAGGTCCAGAAGTCTAAGAAGTCTGAGATGTCTAAAAGTCTAAATATCGAAAAGTCTTAAAGCATAAGAAGTCTTATAGTCTAAGAAGACATTTAGACTGCTTAAACTCTTAGACCATTGGACTTGTAGATTTTTAGACTTTTAGACTTTTGGATTTTTACACTTTTAGACTTCACATACTTTTAGACTTTAGGTTTCTTGGACTTCTAGAGAAGTCTGAAAGTCTAAAAGTCTGAGAAATCTAAAAGTCTAAAAAATCTAACATTAGCTATGAAATTGAAAATACTTTTAGACTTTTTAGACTTTTTTAAAAAGGTGTCAAATGCCTTATGAAAATCTAGAAAAACACTTAAGACCTGTTCACTATTATCAAAAGCTAATAAGATCTCATGAACTGTGGCGATCAATTGATTAATAGTAGAATCGCCATGCCTAAATTCTGACTGGTTCGTACTTAGAAGGTTGTAATTTGTTAAATATCCATAAAGTTTCCGATGATCAAACGCTGAAGTATTTTTGATAAAACAGGCAGTAAGCTTATAGGACGATAATTATTCACTTCATGAGGATCGCCTGACTTAAAAATCGATGTAATATAGCCAAGTTTCCAGCTTTTAGGAAATTGTTCCTGTTCTAGAGATTGATTAAATAAATAGGTTATGATCGGAGTTATGACAGGTGCAGCTTCTCTAACTATTCTGGCTGACAGACCAGGCGCACTAGCAATTCTACTACAATCAATTTTACACAGTAATTCAAAAACTTCACTCTCAAAAATATGAAATTTCATCATTGAGAATTTGCTAGATGTTGGAACAACTAACGGCACATCATTAACCTCATTAAGTGGCATTGAGCAAACTATCGCGAAATGTTTTTTTAAAAGCTCAGCCTTTTTTCCCGGATCTATCATTAGTTCTTTTGAAGACCTGTCAAAAAGAGGTGGAATGGAAATATTGTTGATTTTATTTAATATGTTTTTAACTTGACGCCATCAGGGTTTTGATAGCGAATTCATCTCAGCTGATAACTTCCGATAATATTCTTTTGTGCGGCTTTACACGCTTTCTCAAAATCATGTGAAGCTCCTCTCGAATTAGCCGCCGAACTTGTCGTCTTAAATCTACAATCGATTTTATAAAGCTCATGTTTTTTCTTCAGTAGCTCTCGTAAAGTCTCATTAAACCAAGGGCGATCATTAGACTTAACCACAATAATTTTATATGGTACCACAAAGTCAGCTATCCATAAAATCATTTTTTCAACTAGCAGAACCCTATTATCTAATTCTCCATCCTCAACTAGCTCATTCCAATCCAATTCTGCTAATTTATCACGAAAAACATCCCAATTTGCTCTTCTATAATCATAGATCTTTCTACTATATTGCGTGACAGGCAGTTGAGCTATAGTGATACTGAATTTAACTACATTATGATCGCATGTACAACATAATTCAGGTAAAATTTCTATTTTCTCAACTAAATTCAAATTATTAAGAAAAATTAAATCTAAACCAGTGGATGATTTCGGACGAGTAGGTTTTTCAACAATTTGAAAAAGCTGTACGTCCTTAGCAAACTCATAGAACTTTTTACCTTCGAGAGTAGAAGCCTTCGTAGGACACCATTCGTAACAATGTGCATTAAAATCTCCTGGGAAGACCAAATCAGTACTTTTATAACAATTATTGCTTCTAATTCCAGTTAAAACAGTGTCTAGGTGTACAATAAAATCTCGTATATCAATCCAATCAGGTCGATAACAAGCTGATAACAAAATAGTTTTTGATTTAGAGAATTGAATAGAACAGAAGAGTGTTTCAAAATCTACATTATCAAACTCAGTTAAGTGTTTTCACGATAGATTATTTCTTACATAAATTACGATGCCACAACCTTTTTTCCCTACTCTATCTCTTCGAAGTGGCACCTGAAAACCGTTTAACAATAGTTCTAAGTCAAGAACAGTATCATCTAACCAAGTCTCAGTGATTACTATTATCGCAGATTTTTCTAGCTCTACTAAACTCGCTAAAATTTCAAATTTTTTTGACCATAATGGGATGTGGTGTAGAAATCGCATTTTTGCTATTGTCAAACGATGCCATTAATCTATTAACATTCAACAGCAGAATCGTTTCGCTATGCAACTGATTTCTAATGTAAAACATTTTAACCATTATCAATTATCTCATACACTACAGTCTTAGAACGCAACATATCAGGTCGGGAAACCAATACCTTTGAGAGTTTTCAATACAGGATAAATTCAATTATCCATATAGATATCTTTGAATATCATCATATGAATTAATAAATACGATGCCTTGAACTTCGATTTTATAACAAACTCTTCCTCCTCTGATAAATACATATTTTCGACCTTCATCTTCTAGACTATCACGCATTTGGTATAATAATCATTTATCATACCTTGTTACATCTTTAAAGATCGGAATACCAGTTGCTTGTTTGAATTTTTTTCGTTTTAATAGTAAAGATTTTAGTTTAAATCGAGAAAGAAATGCAGCTATAACTGGTTGTGGAGATTGTTGTTCTTCTTTTTCTGTCCTAGAGGATGGCAATATTCTATATCTTCGTTTTTCAATTGAATTCCAATCTTAGCAGCTCCTTCAGTGATTGATTTTACAATATCAGTTTGTTCTTTCATTCCAATGAAACGAAGATTCTTTTGTCTTGAAATTCTTTCACGAGAATTTGCATTAAACTGAATGTTTTCAAGCTGTTGTTCAATTGAATTAGTTTTTTGTTCTAAAGCAGTTAAACTTTATTCAATTCGTTTAATAACAACATCTTGCAATATATTCACAATGTCTTCTGGTTCAGAGTTCTCTCGTAAAGACTGAATTTGCTCTTTCACTTCTTGATCATTTGAAATTATCTCGGAGATGTTATTTCTTATTGAATCTCTGTTAATTGAAACTCTGTTAATTGTTGGAGTTGTTGATGCTACTACTTGAGTAAATTGCATTTTATTTGTTTTCCGAGATGTATAATATTCATTCACAGGTATTAATGAAGTTTATTTAGATATAACGTAGATATGTAGTAGAAAGTGTATACTATAGAACTGACATATACGTGTTTACGCGATGAAGAGAAAAGGATGATTGTTTTCCCATCAGTCTCAAGACTGAATCGCCGTATAATATCTGTTGCCGTTTGTTCCGCCAGATAGTGCGCGCAATCTTTACTGAACGTTTTATCAATGTCTTCATTATTCCTCTGTTTGCTGTAGTCAAGAAGATCCGCAATGTCAATTGTGAAAATAGGATGATCAAGAACAATAACAGAATAAAAATTTGATGAAATCCCGCCAAAAATTTTCCAGTTACTTGTCACGGTATTATCTTGAGTAAAACAGTTAACATCAACATTTTTTCTTGATTTTTGTTTTCACCAGCTTTAACTTGTTTTTTCCGTCGATCAGATTAGACACATTAGAAGAGAATAAATCGCGCAAATTTTCCTCTCTATAGTTAACGAATGAGATTTCATCGAGGTGTATACATCCATCATACAGGAACAATTCATGAGAACATTAATTTTTTTGAGAAAAAATATTTTTAAATCAGTGTGTGGTTTGTAATGTTTTTAAAATATTACAAAGTTTTCTTGATGATTTCATCACAGAAAAACAAATTCAAGGAATGAAAATCCCTGCTATATTACAATTAACTAAATTTCTTCTTCAACATCAATATTTTGTGAAACACGATCTAAAAGGAGTGTTGAAGTGTATAGGGATAAAAAATCGACATAGTATCAAAAGACTGTCACAGACCGTGACCGACATAGCATCATAAACCATGTAAAACACGATCTACAAATTAATACCGATGTTGCTAAATCCCTTCATTTACAATATAACAAGCTCCATTGTGTTTCACATTTTTAATCCCGCAGAGATTGCGCTGAAAGCTTTTCTTTACCAGAAAAGTATCTATCAACAGACCGTTGGTGGTGCTACTGGTTTATATCTGATGGATCTTTTAATTAATATTTACTTATTCTATTGGCAACGACCATTATTATTACAACAAGATCAACATGAAATTTTTGCTCGCTGTTTTAATGATCTATTTTTTACCTGGAATGAATCCGAAGTGAAACTTCATGGCATATTAAAAATTATGAAAATACCCCGAATCCATTGAATATAATCTGAATATTCAAACAAGAGTGTTTCATTATCTCGATGTACAAATTTATCATGTCAATAATCATCTTCAAACGCATGTACATCATGATTAGAAATATGAACCATATCTGTTACCAACCATGCACGATGCATGTCTTCTCTTACCATCAAAAATTTTTCATCGAGCACTTCTACGTGCAGTTCTAAGTTGTTCACAATTAGAAGATTTTGAAGTAGAACAATGGTATATTGAATATTCATTTTTGTTTAATCGATTTCAATTCGATTTTATCCGTCAACATATTGAAGAATTTTTTCTCAGTTTTAATGCCTTATCCATCGTTTAGAACACTTAAATATGCAAAAGTTCTAAGTTTTCATTGACGAACTGTTCTCTGTTGCTCTGTAAATTTCCTCATACCATCGCGATGATACATTTTCTTCAATAAAACGCACTTCTCTTAACAAAAACTACTTCCTTCATCCAAATATATTCCTCTTTTGTTATTTAAGATAGTGAACTACAGTCGAAACGCGTCGTATATAGCTTTGAATCTTTAACCCATATAAACTCACCCTCATACTCTCAAGAAATTTAAAAAATACTAACAGCGCAATTTTTTATGCGTCATCCGTTAGTTTATTGTTAAAGGAAAAAGTCACCATCACAAAATGGCAAAAGTGGTTATATAGGCCAAAATTTGGTATTTTGTGGTTTGAAAAAATTATGATATCGACTGAAAGCGAATGAGATTTTTTATTAAGAGTCTTAAGTTAATGAAACCTTCAATTGCTGAGAGTTTTAGCTTCACGGGAAACTCTGTAAAAAGGCGGCAAATCCCGTTGAAACCAGCCTCACGTGATCTGGAATAGTGTTAATAGTCTCTTCAGTAGCTAGACTTTTGTCTTCGAATACTGCAAGGCCAGCTAGCAGATCGCTATCGCGCAGATCGACGTAAATGGGATGTCTCATTTCTGGACTTGTCATGTTGAAAAATTGAACATTGTTCATGTTAACATTATCTTCACCTTGTTTAATACATATATAAACAGTACATATGGTGGTAAGTACGTGAAGTTTTTTTATAAGTCGCTCAAGTTGAGGAAGAATGTAGCAGCGAATATATTTTGATTTCTTTTGAAAAGATTGTAAAAACCTTTCTAATTCTTTGCACAGCATCCATTCATACATATATTTTTTATAACGCCAAAGAGAAAGAGAATTATTGTTAGCTGCGTCCATTGTTGAGTTCCTCGACGAGATGTGTGTATGCACAGCAGGTAAAAAATTGTAGCGATAATCATTAACCGATAAATCTTCAGTAATTTCGTATGGTAATCGAAGAATAATCTTCGAATCAGCCGCATCATACCACTTCTCACGTCGTCGAATATAATCGAAAATTCGGCTTAGACGTTCTTCTATAGAAAATTTGACAGGAACTTCACTCTTGATAATCCTGTAAAGTAACCACACGTCTTGCTGTGCATCAAACATTTCTGAACACTCTTGATTAGAATCTTTTTTCACTGATCTGTGTTCAGTATTATCCATCGTTCGAATTGTTTTGGGAGGCTTTTGTAACATTTTTATTTGTTTTTGTATCGTATTATTCATTCGGTACTTATCATTCAGATTCATATCCAATGCCTTTTGATAACATTCCAATGCGCACTCCTTATCAGCAATCCTTTTATAAGTTTCTCCAGCTAAGCAAAGACATTTAACGACTTCTTCCGTATCCATGGTACAGAATTGTTTTAAATAATCTTCATATATGGCAATTTGTATCGTAGGACGTTCTTGCCATATCTTGAACTCACGAAGTAATCCGGTAAAAGATGAAGAGCTCGATTGGAATGAAGGAATAGAAAGTAGAATGACTTTGTGCAGTTCAATCGCTTTTCTTGACCAATATTTATCCTCGGTGAAACAATCATAGAATGTTAGATGTAGTGGCTGTTTATCTACAAGACCTTTCCCCGAGTGACGTTTTAAATTATTCCACCAGTTTTGCCAATTTGTGCCCTTGAATTTCAGTTCATCTCTAGCGTTCACTTGTAACATATGTAAAATATCGGCATAAATTTGTGGATCTGTTTCCTTTTCAATCCGTTCGATAATATCAAAATGACTGTAATTACTTCCTGCCTCCGCTATATTAGTGAGTTTGAGTACAATTGGCACCCAAGTACGATTAGATTGATTTATCGGATATCCGACATGTTCTACAGAAAAGCGCGTTACAAGAGAAAAGAGCACTTCTTGCTCATTTGGCATGTCGGATAGTGACGTAATATTTGCGAACACTTGTTCAAACTTAGGCATGTATTGTTGATCTTCGTTATAGCTATCGGGTATAATAATTTCAAACAGACAAGAAATTCGCCCGTCCACAGCAGATGCAAAGGACAATGCAATTTCAGGATCAAGTGATGCCGAACTAAATGTAGTCAATGTAATGACGGGATTGTTTGATTTAGAAATCGACCTAAGATATTCGAGTTCATCCACACTCAGGTTTTGTCCTCGATACACGACCCGAATATAGTATTTTTGGGACTTACAATACTCTCGATGATATTTATGTAATTGAGAATGTAGATCTCTGATAAAAGGACTAAATTTTCTGATGATTTCCATATTTTTTGTACGTAAAGCATGATTGACGATACGATAAAGAAAACCTTCTCGTGTATACTCATGGATGGCATTATCAGATTTGTAAGTTTGTTGAAATAGATCGATTTGTTTCATTCTACTACGATTGTTCCAGTAGTATGCACGACATTCGTTGAACATTTCCTTATAAGATTCTTTAATATATTCAGATCGATAGCAGATCACTAGAATAAATAAATGCTGCCATTCGGAGGTAGACGTTGCAACTTTTTGAAATGATTTTTCACCAAGTGGCCATCGTCGACTCAGCTCTTTAATATCATGGTGAAGTTGAGTAAGTAATTTTGTTGCATCCGAAACAGTACATCGTATCTTATTAATTCCTTTTGTCCACATCCTATGTTTATCTTCATCCATACAATACACATAAAGACCAACAATTTGTTGTTTAACAAGAAATTTATGAGCATGATTTCTTCCCACTATGCCAGAAATAATTAAGAAAATGTTCCTGTTGTATAGAGAATCAATAAATGCAAGACTTGTTTCAATATCACTGAACCATTTTATACAACGCTCACTGATAATCCGTGGAAGATTTTCGGATAAACGATGATTATCATCAATACCTATGATTACTAGAACGTATTCGTCAAGATTGTTGTCTGTCTTGAGATTGAGTAATTGCAAAGTGTCCTCATCGACTTGAAGTGCTCTGTCGTACTCTTGTGTTGACATTGTAGCCATTATTTATTAGTACTAACACTAAAAATAGAACAGTGAGAAATAAAGAGAAAGAACAACGTCTGCTTTGCTAAGATAACTTTGGTATGTATGTACACATCATATTTTCAACAATTAAAACGGTGAAAAACTCACTTTCATGCGTTAAAAGTGTGAGTATTCCAGGTGAATGAATCCGATAAGAATACGGTGCGACCGTCAGCTTCATACATACATTCGATAAAACTCGACAAGTAAATCTCTAGCGTAGGCAACTGATCAGATCCAATTTTTAACCGAATCTCTTGGGACTATTTTATCGTTTCACATACATTTTCGTAAAAATCAGCTTTTGAAAGAAAAAAATCTACTACACGGCCTCTCCAGCTAACTCCGCTACCGATTCATCATACAAACGTGGTGGACATCTTTCTTTGTACATCAAACTGTGCCCTACTGAAAACGTATGTGACTAGTCTAATGAAAATATTGTTTTTATGTATTGTAAAAGACGTATCCAAAGCCTCAACGAATTATAAAATCTTTATTAGGGCTCTGCGTACTTCTTTTATAATGGATAAACACAATGTTTTCATCAGAAAAGATCATTTCTTGTTTCTACATTTTCACATTCAGTGGAAGACTCAAAAAAGACTTAGCGGTTCAATCAATTATTTTTGATTGCAAAGACGTCATGTTAACATTGAATATCTGTCTGATAAAAATGCAGGAAGAAAAACTAAAACTTATGAAAAAAAATCAGTCATGGGTCAGATGATTGAAACTATCATATTCTTCGTTCTAAAATAGCTCATAACATGTCTACATAGACGCTTTCATCCTCGAAAAAACGTTTGTCGGTACTATAATAATTGATGTTTAGCTTTGACTTTGATTATTGAAGTTGATTGCAATCATTGTATAAATCTCGGGTTACGTGAACGGGAACAACTCATAATTAATGACAGTTCTCTCAATTGATGGAAAAACAGATTTTTCTTCTGTTTGCTTATCATCTAATCATACTTATTCGACTTTTAACGTATATCGCATATGCGAAGCGCATGGGTATTATGTAATGAAAAAAAGAAATGAACGACACTTTGATCACATGTGTGCGGCGACAAAGTGGAAGAGTAGATTACCGTCGTTCCTGTTATAGACGTTTACAGAGTTACAGGAAGTCCACAAAATGTATCGATAGCATATACAGCACAATACGGGGTTTTTATACTCACCCTCAAACGCGTCGGCAAACTCAACTCTGCAATAATCTTTATTATTTACAAACACATTATTTAGTATCTATTCGAATTCGACCAAGATCGATTGCTGAAAAACAAGGATGAAACTAGCAGATTGAACTTGTTTCGTTGTCGAAAGATAAGTCGGTCTGTTGTTCGGTTGATAAAATAAGATCCAACGAAAAACTAAAAAGAAATACGAGTGAATGATTTGGAGAGAAAGGTTCAATATCTATATTACCTTGCAAGTTTATTGAGTATTAGAAAATCACAACATTTATTCATAAAAGACAATTGTGCCTTGAGCGTCATCGAAGGTAGTATGAGCTGATTTGGTCTCACTTTACGCGCAGTATGATCGAAGCAGACACTGTAACATGTTTAATTTTTCTTTGTAATCTGCAGCTGTTACAGTGATATCGCAATGATAGACATTTATTCTACGTTTCTATGCTGTTTTTCTTTTTACCCATCTATATATACACATGTTTTTTGCTTCTTTCGTATCAGAAGCAATAAGGATCATTGATGAGGCACACGCACATATATACGTCTATGTATAGAGATACAGAAGGAAAAACTCGAACATTAACAGTAACTTTTTTTCTTTTCTTCTAACAGTGCGCCTCGTGGTTCTCATAGATATAATATTGTAACTCTGTAAACATATCACCGGAAAAAAAATAAAGTACGTTTAGAGTTGCTGAAAAGTGGTTTTTCGTATTCAGCACACTCGATAACCCAGAAGATTTTCTATTTTTGGCTCGGGGTACTTCCGAAAGTTTAGGATAAATTTTCAAATTAGTATTATTTTTCCATGGAA